AAGAGTCAGAGACATTTTGTTACACATCCAAGACCACAAAGCCAGGAGAGAGAAAAAGAGGTGCTGCCAAACATCCTGAATTGGTTCTCTGCACCTGCACTGTGCTCACAAACATGCTTCTACTTCATCCCATGAACCCTGCCAGTCCCCCTAAGGGGGCTGCCCTGAGTCCAAACACACATTCCTTTTAAGAAAAAGAGACCAGAGTGGAGAGAAGCAAAGCAGATACCTTGGAGATTATATTTTCTATTTCAATTGAATTGCATTCTGGAACTTGCCTTTATTATTATTGAATTCACAATGCATCAGGGATTTTTCTCCACATCCTTTCTCCATTGGGTTCATCTGTGTTTCATTTCATCATATGTACCATCTTTTATTTGTAAAGCATTTCCCTACTGGTAAACATGTTGGTTGTTTTAGTCAGTTTTTTCGCTGCTGTGACTAACGGGTCTGACCAGCACAACTGTAGGGGAGAAAAAGTTTATTTGAAGAGTCACATTTCAGAGATCTTAGTCCAAAGGTAGCTGGCTCCATTCCTTGGGGCTAAAGGTGAGACAGAACATCATGGCAGAAGAGTGTGGAAGAGGGAAGCAGCTCATGTCACAATGATCATGAAGCAGAGAGAGACTCCTACTCCAGATACCCCATACATACTCCATGGCCACACCCCACCTGCCTCTAGTTACCAATCAGTTAATCCCATGAGGGATTAATTCACTAATTGGTTTAAGACTCTCACAATCCAATGGATTCTCTCTGAAACTTCTTACATTGTCTCACACATGAGCTTTATGAGGGCCCCTCATATCCAAACCATAACACTGGTTGTTTGCAGTTTGGTTTTGGCATGTCCTCCATAGGCTCATGTGCCTGAGACTTGGTCCCCACCAGCTTGGAGCTATTTCGAGGAGGCAGAACCCTTCAGAGGTGAGGCCAAGTAGGAAGGCTTTGGCTCACCAGGGTAGGGGGTGGGGTATAGCCTCTAAGAGAGACCCCAATACCTTCCTCTTTCTTTTTTTCCCCCAGTCCTGAGGTGACCAGTTTCACTTTGCCACACTTAATCACTTTGTAGTCTTGATAAGCTGCCTCCCCACCAGTGCAAAGATGTGGGGCAATTGATCATGAACTGAAACACCTAAAACTGTGAGCTAGAATAAATCTTTTCTCTTATGAGTTTATATATCAGGGGATTTTCTATAGTGAAAGGAAGCTGACTAACACAGTGGGGTTCTGGAAGCTCATGCCAAGATGAAACTAGAGTGAGCTATTAACTAGGGATCAACACCTGGGAAAGCTTGGGGGACATGCAAAGTTGGGCCAAGGGAGACACCACATGGTGATACCAGCCATATAGGGAGTTCTGGAAGCTCAGACAGTATTGTCATGGGAGTGGTCCAGCACTGGACAGACAGGGGGACAATTTTGGAAATCAGATTCCCTCTTCCCCAGGGTTGTTTGCTACTGCTATTTGCTTTTGCTGATGCTGCTGTCTTTTGGCTTAGTGACTTTCCTGAAATAATTCTATGAAAT